GCCGACAACATTTTATTCGGAAAGTTACGTCTGAGAGACGATCCACTATGTCATATGGGCCTTCCCATGGAGAAGACAACTTAGGAGACTTCCCTTTGGCCTTCCTGGGATTATACAACCACACCTTGTGTCCTGGTACAAAGCTGACTTCAGTAAATTTCTTATCATAACATAGTTTCATGGAATCAGCAGACGTTTTCAAGTTTGAATGCATTTGATGGTGAATATCATCCATCCTTTCAGATAACATTTTCACGCAACTCTTCGTAAGGTGGGCATTCTGTTATCAGGTCCACTAGCAACCGAAGTTCCCAACCAAATATCAACTTTGCTGGAGTGTATCCAGTGGCTTCATGCTCTGCTGTCCTATACGCCATTAACAGTGGAGGGAGTAAGGCATTCCAGTCATCTGGGCGGCTATTACAAAACTTTGCCAATTCCTGTCCCAGTGTTCAATTGTACTTTTCTACCATCCCATCAGACTGTGGGTGAAGTGGCGTTGTCCTGGTCTTTCGTATGCCAAACAACTTGCAGCATTCTTGGAACACAGCTGATTCGAAGTTACGGCCTTGATCTGAATGTAGTTCGTATGGCATACCAAATCTGAAGAAGGCAATACCAAATCAGGAAGCTACAACTGTAGCTTCAGCTATTAGTGATTTAAACAGGTACATTTGTGTGGTGATGGATTATTTCACCAAGTGGCCTGAGGCATATCCAGCACGAGTTTGGGGCAAAAGACCAGCAATGTCAATGACTACTCTTTCCATTGGTGTGCCAACTTGATATAACTTCATTGGAGCACGTCCCTTATGCTTGGGTCCCCTTTTAGCACAACACGTACTGCAGGTCCTGCACCATTCTTCCACATCTTGCCTCATACCTATCTAGTAAAATCTCTATCAGGGGATTGACGCAGCACAACTTCCGTAACTTTCTCGGTATAACTGTTTGCCAGGTCGTCACTTTCCCATCTGCAGTTTCCCATCTCCGAACAAGAATACCATCTTCAAGCTTTAACTGGTCCCATTGTGCCCAATGGTTCTTTGTTACAGGACTTAAGCTAGACACCTTCTCCCAAGGAGGGCACAAAACACTTGCTTGTAGAAAATCAATTATTGGCTTCAAATATTGGTCTTTCTCCTGTTCTGCTTTAATATCTATACTTGGTTCCACTTCACCATCATCAACTCGTTAAGTCTGTTTGACTTTAGCTAGATGGCACCTGGTTAGTTCAACCTCTCTTTTGCAGCAATGTCTGCAGTCATTTTTGGAGGCTCAGCCCGTCGACATTTCCATGAGATTTGACAGATGCAGCAACACTTACCGGAATTTTGGCTTTGTTGTTCTCAAACGTAATTTTATCAAAGTTAACTACACACTTCCTCGGTAGTAAGTAGCCCAACCCTAATATGTATGGGTCTTCAACGTGAGCCAAATATACTTTGTGTCTGTCCTTTATTCCCAGGAGCTCAATAGTTATTCACACTGGTCCCCACAACATTGCCTAATGTCCTGTCACACCACAGAGCTTCTGTATGGCTTCTGGTACTCCTTTGT